ACTGGAGACGCACCTGGCAGACGACTGTACCAAATGATTGGTTAACTGTAAGTATTGCAACCGGATAGGTCGATATCAACTGATAACAAGCAGCAATCATCTCGACGAGTGTCCTGACCTCCCAGTCCAATGCAACAATGAAGGTTGCAATGAAAAGATACTGCGTCGCTCACTAGCATCACACAATGAGACCTGCCCTAAAGCTACCGTACCATGTGAATACAATACTCTTGGATGTAATAAGAAAATAAAGAGACAAGAACAAGAGAGACACAATGAAATGTCAATACTTACACACCAACATTTAACAAAGAACCAACTAGAAGAGAGAATCAAATCTTTTGGAAGAAATTCGGAGGTGTTTAAAGTAAGCCAATTTGGAAACATTGAAACATGGCAGAGTCCTGGCTTCTACACATCACCCTTGTTCAAGTACAAGATGTCTTTACTAGTGTTTCCTAATGGGAAGGGTGCAGGTAAAGGTACTCACGTCTCTTGTTTCTTATGTCTCGTGGCAGGAGAATACGATGATATATTGGAGTGGCCATTTCAAGGAGAAGGTACTGTAGAACTGCTGAATCGATTGGAGGATAAGAATCATAAGAAATGCACCATATCATTTGATGACACACTTCCAGAGAAGTATAGGCAAAGAGCAAAGAAAGGTACAAGCACTAATGGATATGGTGTTGACACATTTGTACCCCACAATGAGCTGAAGTATAATGCAATTGCTAATCATCAATATCTTAAAGATGATACTCTTTACTTTCGAGTAACTATAGAGGTTACACAAATGAAGCCATGGCTACATTAATGACACTTTCATATTGAAACTTAATAAACGTGTTGATCACATTTGATTTTGAAACGTCTTAATAAAATTATCACATTGTGATTTTTAAACTGTTTATATTAATTGATCACAATTTGATTTCGAAACTGTTAATAAAAATGTATCACTGTAAAAGAGTGAATGAGAGAGAGGAGAGGGAGAATCACATAATAGATAATATAATGATCTGTCTGCTACAAAAATAATGAAACCGTTACACTGACCACACTTCACATATAAACACACAAAAGAAGAGAACCTGTAGCAGTTGGAAGAAAAGACACAAAGAATATAGAAGACAGAATAGAGGTGATTGTTAACGGTCTGAGTAAAGATCATAATGCTCTGAAACAGTTGAACTAAAAAATAAAATGAAGTAGCATACATTCAATATTCTTGTACTTAGTGTACATGCACTTATCTTTCCCTTTCATGTTGTATTTGGTCTTTCTAAGAAAACTGATTCTTTTTTGTACCGCACTACTAGGTGAGCCAATTAGCCTTCCTGACTTGTTCTACGAAACAGAATGAGACAATATGAATGAAAAACAATTATATTCAGCATATAATTAAACAAAGTAATAATAATAGCTTTTTTGTCGTGTGGGTCTCTTTCAGTAAGATGACCAACAGATCCCCACTGTTTTGATGGTAATCTTCCATGATGCAGCATAGTCCCAGGAACAGCTAATGATGCTATAAAATAATAGAAAATATCAATACAGTGCATGTACAGTATATGTACTACCATTTACTGAAGGTAGAAATCTATTGGGAAGTCATCGTCGTAAAGTGATTGACTACTCTGATTTTAACAGAGGGACGATGCCCATACTAATAGTTCTTAAATTATAACATACTTCTGAAAAGATAAATGACAAGCTGCAAAAACAAAAAATAAAGGAAAGTACTATTACAAACAATAAAAACAAAAATAAAATAAACACAAAAAGGGGAACAGATTGTTATTATTATTATTATTATTATTATTATTATCATTATCTGCTTATTATTTCATTTTTTGTGTTTTTAAGGTAACTTTACCTTAACTACCTCAGCTATTTTTCTAACCTTGCTTTGTTTTCCCTTACCGTACATGTTTTACTTTTATTTTGTATTTACAATTTTTTGATGACTCTGTTCTCTTTTTACTGGGCTATAAGCCTTGGGTATTTTCAGATTTTTGGCATTTTCTTAAAATGGCCATAACTTTAAAAAATGAAGTACGAATCACCTGGCTATAGTACAGTGATTTTTTCAAAATTTGGAACATGCTTTTAAAATGGCCTTATAACTTGAAAAATTGTAGTCAGAATTGGCACAAACTTTCTACACATCAACATGCATCAAAAATTGTAAAAGAAATTGGTGACTTCTTTCTCGTGCATATTGGTGTATTGTGCTGTGTAGAAAGTTTGAGCCAATTCCGACTACAACTTTTGAAGTTATGGCCATTTTTAAAAAATTTTCCAATTTTTGAAAAAATCCCTGTACTTATATAGCCCATAGAATTTTCCAAAAATTACTCAAAAATGGCTCCCCGTTTTTATTAAATATTCTGATGCATATTGATGTCCTTATGCTGTGTAGAAAGTTTGAGCCGATTCCGACTACAACTTTTGAAGTTATGGCCATTTTTAAAAAATGTTCCAATTTAAAAAAAAACCTGTACTATAGCCCATGGCTATTTCTAAAAAATGGTCCCCTTGTAAAAAATCCCAGCAAGATCTTATAAGGTTTTTCATGATTTCACATAATTATACAAGAAAACGTAAGATAGTAATCTTGTAAAATCTTAACACAGAAATTCTTACAAATTCTTATTTAAGATTTCATAAGATTTGAACCATTTTGTCAGATCTTGTGAGATCTACTGTAACTATAATTCTTGTAAGAATTTGAAAGATCTTATGAATAAAGGAATATGTAAGAAAATGTAAGACCATGCCTCACTTAAAACTTGTAATATCACACCTTGTAAGAACTAAAATCTAATAAGATCTTACAAAATCTAAGAAGTTTATAATCTTGAAGAATCATCCATGATCACACGACACATAAGATCACTCATTGAGTAATACAAGATTTTGAAAGATCTTACAAATTGCATGACGTCACAGGAAGTAGAAGACAACCCACGATAGCCTTAACGATAATACCAGTATATAAAGAAAGTAGAGTTTCAACATATTCAAGTCAAAAAAGTTGATGAAGTTAACATTAACCTTCACATCATTAAATAATTCATTCATTCAATGTAAGATCTTGCTCAGATCTTACTGTTGTGTCCATTTTTCATAAGCTGAAACTTCATGTAAGAACTCAGCTAATATTTTTAAATCTTGATAATTAAAGCAAGATCCAATGATATCCTTCATGTTCTTTGTTTCAAAATCAGGTAAGATATTGCTGTGATTTTAGGATAAGATCTTGCTGTGATCTTCTAAGAATTTGGTAAGATCTTGAGAAAGATCCTGTAAGATCTTGCTTACAATTTGATAGCAAGTTCTGCCACTATCTTACATGATCCTTGTTTCAAAATCAGGTAAAATCTTGTGTAATATTAGCAAGAATCTAATGAAGAATTTTAAAGAAACTTGACAAGATCTTGCTGAAATTTTTTACAAGGGTCCCAAAATGGCCCCCCGTTTTTATTACATATTCTGATACATGTTGATGTCCTTATGGTGTGTAGAAAGTTTGAGCCGATTCTGACTACAATTTTTCAAGTTATGGCCATTTTAAAAAATGTTCCAATTTAAAAAAAAAACCCTGTACTATAGCCCGTGGTTATTTCTAAAAAATGACTCTGAAATGGCCCCCCGTTTTTATTAAAAATTCTGATACATATTGATGTCATTATGCTGTGTAGAAAGTTTGAGCAGATTCCGACTACAATTTTTCAAGTTATAATGGCCATTTTAAAAAATGCTCCAATTTTTGAACAAATCCCTGTACTTATATAGCCCATAGATTTTTCCAAAATTGGTCCCAAAGTGGCCCCCCATTTTCATTGCATATTTTGATACATATCAATGTCCTTATGCTGTGTAGAAAGTTTGAGCCAATTCTGACTACAATTTTTCAAGTTATGCCATTTTAAAAAATGTTCCAATTTTTGAACAAATCCCTGTACTTATATAGCCCATAGAATTTTCCAAATATGACTCCAAAATGGCCTCCCGTTTTTATTACATATTCTGATACATATTGATGTCAATATGCTGTGTAAAAAGTTTGAGCTGATTCTGACTATAATTTTTCAAGTTATGGCCATTTTTTAAAAGTGTTCCAATTTTAAAAAAACCTGTACTATAGCCCATGGTTATTTCCAAAAAATGACTCAGAAATGGCCTCCCGTTTTTATTACATATTCTGATACATATTGATGTCCTTATGCTGTGTAGAAAGTTTGAGCAAATTCCGACTACAAGTTTTTAAGTTATGGCCATTTTTAAAAATGTTTTGAAAAAATCCCTGTACTTATATAGCCCATAGACTTTTCCAAAAATTGGTCCCGAAGTGGGCCCCCATTTTCATTGCATATTCTGATACATATTGATGTCCTTATGCTGTGTAGAAAGTTTGAGCCGATTCTGACTACATTTTTTCAAGTTATATATGGCCATTTAAAAAATGTTCCAATTTTTGAAAAAATCTCTGTACTTATATAGCCCATAGAATTTTCCAAAAATTACTCCAAAATGGCTCCCCGTTCTTATTAAATATTCTGATGCATATTGATGTCCTTATGCTGTGTAGAAAGTTTGAGCCGATTCCAACTGCAACTTTTGAAGTTATGGCCATTTTTAAAAATGTTCCAATTTAAAAAAAATCCCTGTACTATAGCCCATATTTTTTTGTAAAAAATGACTCCAAAATGGCCCCCCATTTTTATTACATATTCTGATACATATTGATGTCCTTATGCTGTGTAAAAAGTTTGAGCTGATTCCGACTACAATTTTTCAAGTTATGGTGATTTTAAAAAATGTTCCAATTTTTGAAAAAAATCTCTGTACTTATATAGCTCATAGATTTTTCCAAAAAATTGGTCCCGAAGTGGCCCCCCGTTTTTATTAAGTATTCTGATGTATATTGATGTCCTTATGCTGTGTAGAAAGTTTGAGCCAATTCCGACTACAATTTTTCAAGTTATGGCCATTTTTAAAAAATTTTCCAATTTTTGAAAAAATCCCTGTACTTATATAGCCCATAGAATTTTCCAAAAATTACTCAAAAATGGCTCCCCGTTTTTATTAAATATTCTGATGCATATTGATGTCCTTATGCTGTGTAGAAAGTTTGAGCCGATTCCGACTACAACTTTTGAAGTTATGGCCATTTAAAAAAATGTTCCAATTTTTGAAAAAATCCCTGTACTATAGCCCATATTTTTTTGTAAAAAAATGACTCCAAAATGGCTCTCTGTTTTTATTACATATTCTGATACATATTGATGTCATTATGCTGTGTAAAAAGTTTGAGCTGATTCCGACTATAATTTTTCAAGTTATGGCCATGCATTTTTTAAAAATGTTCCAATTTAAAAAAAACCTGTACTATAGCCCATGGCTATTTCTAAAAAATGACTCTGAAATGGCCCCCCCCCCCGTTTTTATTACATATTCTGATCAGTGGCGGATCTGGGTGCAAGTTAATGGTAGGGCCAGGAAGTGGGTGTGTCCACTTTTCAACCAGTTATTTTATGGTTATGCATCTTTTGGCCATTTTTATGATGGGTTTCAACAATTTCCTCATCTATGCTGTGCTTATAATGCTCTTCAAGCACTTGTAAGTACTCTGGTGTGGCTTGTGGTTTGCTTTATCAAAACTTGAGGCAGGGAATTGTTTACATTGCATCTAATGAATCTCATTACTGACTTTTGATGCCCGGGCCATGGCCCCGTCTAGGCCTGGGCCCAGATCTGCCACTGATTCTGATACATATTGATGTCATTATGCTGCGTAGAAAGTTTGAGCCGATTCTGACTACAATTTTTCAAGTTATGGCCATTTTAAAAAATGTTCCAATTTAAAAAAAACCCTGTACTATAGCCCATGGTTATTTCTAAAAAATGACTCTGAAATGGCCCCCCGTTTTTATTAAAAATTCTGATACATATTGATGTCATTATGCTGCGTAGAAAGTTTGAGCCGATTCTGACTACAATTTTTCAAGTTATGGCCATTTTAAAAAATGTTCCAATTTAAAAAAAACCCTGTACTATTATAGCCCATGGTTATTTCTAAAAAATGACTCTGAAATGGCCCCCCGTTTTTATTAAAAATTCTGATACATATTGATGTCATTATGCTGTGTAGAAAGTTTGAGCAAATTCCGACTACAAGTTTTAAAGTTATGGCCATTTTAAAAAATGTTCCAGTTTTTGAAAAAATCCCTGTACTTATATAGCCCATAGACTTTTCCAAAAATTGGTCCCGAAGTGGGCCCCCATTTTCATTGCATATTCTCTGATACATATTGATGTCCTTATGCTGTGTAGAAAGTTTGAGCCGATTCTGACTACAATTTTTCAAGTTATGGCCATTTAAAAAATGTTCCAATTTTTGAAAAAATCCCTGTACTTATATAGCCCATAGAATTTTCCAAAAATTACTCCAAAATGGCTCCCCGTTTTTATTAAATATTCTGATGCATATTGATGTCCTTATGCTGTGTAGAAAGTTTGAGCTCATTCCGACTACAACTTTTGAAGTTATGGCCATTTTTAAAAATGTTCCAATTTAAAAAAAATCCCTGTACTATAGCCCATATTTTTTTGTAAAAAATGACTCCAAAATGGCCCCCCATTTTTATTACATATTCTGATACATATTGATGTCCTTATGCTGTGTAAAAAGTTTGAGCTGATTCCGACTACAATTTTTCAAGTTATGGTGATTTTAAAAAATGTTCCAATTTTTGAAAAAAATCTCTGTACTTATATAGCCCATAGATTTTTCCAAAAAATTGGTCCCGAAGTGGCCCCCCGTTTTTATTAAGTATTCTGATGTATATTGATGTCCTTATGCTGTGTAGAAAGTTTGAGCCGATTCCGACTACAATTTTTCAAGTTATGGCCATTTAAAAATGTTCCAATTTTTAAAAATATCCCTGTACTTTTAAATAGCCCATGGTTATTTCCAAAAAATGGTCCCAAAATGGCCCCCCCAGTGGCAGATTTAGAGGGGTTCCATGGGTTCCATGGAACCCCCCTTTGGCAGACGAAGTTGTCTTTTTGTAGTATTATTGCAGCCAGTTTGCAGCACTTTTCCTCCATTGTATTAATTAAAAATTGATGAGCCACACCCAAATTTTAATTAAAATTAATGAGCCCCACCTACTTAAGTAAAATAGAACCCCCCTTTGATTTTTCTGAATCCGCCAGTGCCCCCGTTTTTATTACATATTCTGATACATATTGATGTCCTTATGCTTTGTAAAAAGTTTGAGCCAGTTCCGACTACAATTTTTCAAGTTATGGCCATTTTTAAAAATATTCCAATTTTTGAAAAAATTCCCTGTACTATAGCCCATAGTTTTTTCTAAAAAATGACTCCAAAATGGCCCCCTGTTTTTATTAAATATTCTGATGCATATTGATGTCCTTACGCTGTGTAGAAAGTTTGAGCCGATTCCGACTACAATTTTTCAAGTTATTGCCATTCTTTAAATTGGAAAATGTAAAAAATGGCAATAACTTGAAAAAATTGCCTATCTATCTATATAATTTGTGCAGTGACTGCTTCTAGCTATTGTTAATGCTTGCTAAATGCTATAAGCAAGATTGCTGCAGTGATTTTAAAGGTAGATCAAGAAATTTGTATCCATGCCATGCATGAGTATTGTTAGTCTGTCTAGATAAGATCTATTGCATGTACGTTGCTTTGCTTGCTTAGGCTCACCCCTTAATGTTTTAGATTTGTCTAGTAATTATTATTTCAAAATTTGGCAAGGGGCAGGGTAAGACTACACGCTTAGTAGTCGGTTACTATTAACTTTCAATAGCAGTAAAATAAAAATTACAAACACCAGCATTATGTATTAGTGCATATGCAATAATGTGTTGAAATAATAAAAAGGTCCAGTGTCAACCTGTGTATATATATGAAGTTCTTCTCAAACAAAGCACGCAATATATAATTGTTTTGCAACACTTAGAGCCTCAACTTACTTAAATATTGAGCTCACAGTGGCTGTGTAAACGCTACTTTAGTACAGCATAGACCCAGGAGGTACCTTCACTACCTTGCCTTTAAGGTGTGGCTCGATTCGATTGACTATGACATGAGTCAGTGCAGGCAAATCCATGCCAGGCATAGATGCATGCATGCGTGAAGGCGCTAGGCGTGGCTACAAGGATTGGGCACGTGAAGGGTACAGGTATACGTGCAGGTAGGCCTAAATTAAAAATGGCTGAGGGTGGCTACGATTATAGTTTTGTTGATAAACATCTTCCCGATGAATTCATATGTGCCCTCTGCACATTAGTTGCGCGTGATCCACACCAAACAGACTGTTGCCACAATATCTTTTGTGATACTTGTTTAAAGAAACTTCGTCGGTCGACAAGGCCATCGAAACCCAACTGCCCTCTTTGTAGTCAGAAGAAGTTCGCCTCCTTCAAAGATGGAATCGTCAATCGTAAAATCATCGGTCTTGAAGTTTACTGCAGTAACCGCGAGGAGGGTTGTGATTGGCAGGGAACCATCAACGAAACTGGTACCTCAATAGGTATTCATCTGAACAATTGCCCCTATCAACTGGTACCTTGCACTGACGAGTGTGGAGAGGAGATTAGGAGAAGTGCACTGGAGACGCACCTGGCAGACGACTGTACCAAACGATTGGTTAACTGTAAGTATTGCAACCGGATAGGTCGATATCAACTGATAACAAGCAGCAATCATCTCGACGAGTGTCCTGACCTCCCAGTCCAATGCAACAATGAAGGTTGCAATGAAAAGATACTGCGTCGCTCACTAGCATCACACAATGAGACCTGCCCTAAAGCTACCGTACCATGTGAATACAATACTCTTGGATGTAATAAGAAAATAAAGAGACAAGAACAAGAGAGACACAATGAAATGTCAATACTTACACACCAACATTTAACAAAGAACCAACTAGAAGAGAGAATCAAATCTTTTGGAAGAAATTCGGAGGTGTTTAAAGTAAGCCAATTTGGAAACATTGAAACATGGCAGAGTCCTGGCTTCTACACATCACCCTTGTTCAAGTACAAGATGTCTTTACTAGTGTTTCCTAATGGGAAGGGTGCAGGTAAAGGTACTCACGTCTCTTGTTTCTTATGTCTCGTGGCAGGAGAATACGATGATATATTGGAGTGGCCATTTCAAGGAGAAGGTACTGTAGAACTGCTGAATCGATTGGAGGATAAGAATCATAAGAAATGCACCATATCATTTGATGACACACTTCCAGAGAAGTATAGGCAAAGAGCAAAGAAAGGTACAAGCACTAATGGATATGGTATTGACACATTTGTATCGCACAAAGAGCTGAAGTATAATGCAATTGCTAATCTGTCATCCTCATGGATAAACTACCCGACATATTCATCATTTATTTCTATCGTGAAGGAGTCATACATGCAATGGAGTCCTTGAAAATCCTACCACTAAAAGTACACCAATACTTGTACACATACATGTAATTTAATAATTATTACACTATTGGGGCAAGCATTCACATGCACATGTAATTTAAATACATGTTCTTCTAGTATATTTTAATGTTTGGTGCCCTGTTTTTTTAGGCAATGATGACACCTAAGAAACATGATCAAGTTGGTAAGGCTGCTTCACCATCTGGAGACTTGTCCTCATCTCCTCCCATTGGTGGCCCATTGGCTATGCTCCACCCCCTGCCCAACCCACCCCAGGCTCCTCTAACACATGTAGTATATTATGTACATGTATGTTTACTTCAACATTGTAACTGTGTCAGAAAATCATGTACAGTACATGTACTATAATACTACACAAAAATGACTTGAAAATTTGCCATCTTTATAACTTTTCCGATGCATACAGTATGTACATGTGTACATGTTCTTATGTTTTGTAGCAAGTTTGAGCTGATTTTGATTGAAATTAGATTTTCTACGAATTGTTAAAGCTACTCAAAAATTTTGTCAAAAATAACTAGGAGAGAATTCTCCATTTTAATATTTTTCTG